GATTAATATTAATTTATTCAAAAAAGGTGCAGACGTACAAATTGAAACTATGTAGGAAACTCTAGGGTAAATATGTATAGTTGTCAGATTGTTAAGGAAATCCAGGGAAAAGTCCGCAAAGACACCAGGGAATATGTATGAATCATCTGGCAATCCTGATAATAAAAGTTACATTTCTTAATGAGTAACGTTCAAAAACAGATGTTTATAGGTGTACTTTTTTATACGTTATAACAACATAGTTAGTAACAAAGTATGCACCACTCATTCTTATGTATATCTGCCGGGTTTATTACAAACTGTGGGAGCATGATTCAATGAAACCTACAATAACATGACAACAATTGACAAAGTTGTTAAAATATATACGTACTTAGACTATCTGCAACTAAACAATGAGCTGATATATCCTATTGTTATAGGAAGTTACAGATAGTTATTTTTATTTTAAACGCGACTATATTCAATTATTATTTGTAGGTAGGTACTTGTGCACCATTTATTATTTTTTGGTTTGTTTTCAATATTATTATTTCTATTTAACGATTAATATCAGACAGAATCTGCAATTCAATAGTTACAAAAAGGCAATTAAAAGAAAAATACACACAAATATTAAATAGTGGAGAAAATGATAAAATTTAGAAACTAAATCACTAGAGGGCGAATGTTAGTTACTTAATTGAAATTTAGAAAGTGTTTATCATACAAAAACCATAAAAAGTTTAGAATTTTCCGAATTTGTCGGTATAAGTGAGAGACATTAATACCAACATAACGCTACAAAAAACTCGAAAATCGAATATACGTAACCGCGGAAATTCAAAATTCGCGAAACTTTTTGAACAGACCTCGTATATGCAAAATTTTATAAGAAATAGTATTGCACGAAAACAAAAGTCGCAAAAGTATGAAGAATCAGGCAGTCAGGAAACAAAAAAATCAAAAGAATGACGAAAGGGAAACAAATGATGCCTCGCCTGGCGACTATGTAGTGACCACTGTGTGTGTCATGAGTCTTAAGTCAATTAAAATCACCTTATCTAACCTTGAACTCGGTTTCTCCTTTGCAGCGTAAATTTATTCGCACTGTTCTAAAAAAGAATACCGACGACATTATCTCATTTATAGCAGTATATATAACCGTATTTTTAATGAAAAAACTATGTAATTTACCAACTATTAATTGTTGAAACATCTGATGCTGTTTATTTTATTTATCTCGGAACTTTACTTAAAAATTAAGGGTTAAAGGTTTATGCACAATTAGAATATATTTGCAGATAATGAAAATAATATCTATTAAAAATAATTAAGGCTATATAGTAATGCTTCTTTTAATAAATTATTAAAACATTCAAATCGTGACAATAACTAATTTGTAAAATATTTTAAAAAATTCTTGACTGGTGTCTATTTCATATTACAGGCAGTTTGTGTGTACACTTGTTAGTGCTTCTCCTACAATTAACTATTGAAACTTTATAGTCAAAGGTCATAGGACGATAATGCATATCATGAATCGGCCCCAAAGGTATATCTGAATTATTATTTGAGGGTATATTGGTACTCTCTGTCTATTTGGTTTTTAAATAAATCCAAAAAAACGAAAAATCAGAAAATATTTTTTTCTCAAAAGTGGCTTTGAATGATATTTATAGACATTATAGATGTATATAAGGGCTATACTCGAAAAAAATAACAGCTCAGAATCTGTGAATCATCAAAAACAGGCGATTTTTTCTGAAATAGTTTTATTTCTTTATGATAACAATTTTAATTTTTTTTATATCTTTTCCAATGTAGAATAACCTCTCAAATCAAATCAATCAAAAAGGGACGCCATATTGAAGAACAATAAAACCAGATTATTTTATATAAAAATCGATTTATTTCAATGTTTATACCT